GGCCTGTGAATGCTTTGAACGATGTTTTGGGTCGTTGTCCTGCTGGAAAATCCAAACATTTCCATAGAACACGTGAGCAGATGGAAGTAAATGTCCCACGAGAATATCTGTGTACCGCTCACTGTTCATATTCCCTTCAAATACACAGAGGGGTGTTGCCCCTAACACAGATATGCCACCCCACACATTAAATTTCGGACTGTACTTTGGGCGCTTAATACAAAGGTTTTTCAGTTTGTTTGGTCAAGAATTTCAGTGTTTTAGGAAACAGCCACACAGAACTTTCATCTGAGAAAATCACATTGTCCCAGTTAAAATTTCTACGCTGTAAGCACCCGTTCAACCTTCACTCCTTTTGTTCAGATTTCATGATCGGTGATGGAATTCCTCGACTTTTCTGCCAACCCATTGCATGCAGCTCAGTTTTAATTGTCTCCTTACATACAGCCACAGTTCCTCTATCAATCATATCCAGCCTTAAGTTTTCTAAACGCCTTTGTTTGTTTTTAGAAACAAGAATACAAAGCCAAGCCTCCCTGTCACCGACAGTCAATTTTCTAGGCCTACCTGCGCCTCCCTGGTGCTCAATGCCATATCCATTTGCAATATTTTTCAAAACACGATACACAGTGGACAAAGGGATGCCTGTTCTACTTGAAATCACTTTAGCTGATCTGATGTCCTTGTTATAATACTCTACAATCAACATCCTCTTCTCTAAATCATCCATACTGAGGATCACTGAAAATGTTGTCTGCTATTAAGTAAACAAAGGGGGATAACTCTTCACAAACTAATGAAAAAGGATTAACAGAGTTGTGTCTCTTGAATGAAACCAAGCTCTTGGTAGCTGGTCAAGGTTGTTTATATTAGAAATCCAATTAAACATATTCCTAAAATTCTCAAAAATTTCTGGTCATACTATATAATGGTATTATTTTATGTGTTGTCTCATGGGCAATAACTCTCATAAGTGTATCCTATTTTATGTAGGATTATTGCACGTGTTGGCCGCCGGCTGCTGGGTGCTTGAGCACACTCCCGTGTCACCCACAGGGTAGGTTCCATTGTCTGTTTTATAGTCTGATTCATGATATGCCACGTGATATGTCACTTGTAATAGTAACAATAGTATATGCCATTTTTCCTAACCTGCGTGAGATTGTCTTAGACAAGTTCATTGTTTAGTTAGGTCTGTATGGAGACACATGTTATTCCGATATGTATATATGAAGATATGAGTTTATCAGATGTTTTAGAGAACGCATATACATTGTATGATTATGATTACTACTTCTCCATCTTCCACTAAGGAATAAAGATATTGACCTCACAAAACGTTAATTACGGAGCACCACTATTTCATGGCTGCAACAGATATATCAGATTGACCAAGGTGTAACAACTGTAGATATATCAGATCTACCATGGTGAAACAACTGGAGATATATCAGATCTACCATGGTGTAACAACTGGAGATATATCAGATCTACCATGGTGTAACAACTGGAGATATATCAGATCTACCATGGTGTAACAACTGTAGATATATCAGATCTACCATGGTGTAACAACTGGAGATATATCAGATCTACCATGGTGTAACAACTGGAGATATATCAGATCTACCATGGTGTAACAACTGGAGATATATCAGATCTACCATGGTGTAACAACTGGAGATATATCAGATCTACCATGGTGAAACAACTGTAGATATATCAGATCTACCATGGTGTAACAACTGTAGATATATCAGATCTACCATGGTGAAACAACTGTAGATATATCAGATGTACCATGGTGTAACAACTGGAGATATATCAGATCTACCATGGTGTAACAACTGTAGATATATCAGATGTACCATGGTGAAACAACTGTAGATATATCAGATCTACCATGGTGAAACAACTGTAGATATATCAGATGTACCATGGTGTAACAACTGGAGATATATCAGATCTACCATGGTGTAACAACTGGAGATTTATCAGATCTACCATGGTGTAACAACTGTAGATATATCAGATCTACCATGGTGAAACAACTGTAGATATATCAGATCTACCATGGTGTAACAACTGGAGATATATCAGATCTACCAAGGTGTAACAACTGGAGATTTATTGGAACTACCATGGTGTAACAACTGTTGATATATGAGATCTGCCATGGTGAAACAACTGGAGATTTATTGGAACTACCATGGTGTAACAACTGTTGATATATGAGATCTACCATGGTGAAACAACTGTAGATATATCAGATGTACCATGGTGTAACAACTGGAGATATATCAGATCTACCATGGTGTAACAACTGGAGATTTATTGGAACTACCATGGTGTAACAACTGTTGATATATGAGATCTGCCATGGTGAAACAACTGGAGATTTATTGGAACTACCATGGTGTAACAACTGTTGATATATCAGATCTACCATGGTGTAACAACTGTAGATATATCAGATCTACCATGGTGTAACAACTGGAGATATATCAGATCTACCAAGGTGTAACAACTGGAGATTTATTGGAACTACCATGGTGTAACAACTGTAGATATATGAGATCTACCATGGTGTAACAACTGTAGATATATCAGATCTACCATGGTGTAACAACTGTAGATATATCAGATCTACCATGGTGAAACAACTGTAGATATATCAGATCTACCATGGTGTAACAACTGTAGATATATCAGATCTACCATGGTGTAACAACTGTAGATATATCAGATCTACCATGGTGTAACAACTGTAGATATATCAGATCTACCATGGTGTAACAACTGTAGATATATCAGATCTATCCTGGTGTAACAACTGTAGATATATCAGATCTACCATGGTGTAACAACTGTAGATATATCAGATCTACCATGGTGAAACAACTAGAGATATATCAGATGTACCATGGTGTAACAACTGTAGATATATCAGATCTACCATGGTGTAACAACTGTAGATATATCAGATCTACCATGGTGAAACAACTGTAGATATATCAGATCTACCATGGTGTAACAACTGTAGATATATCAGATCTACCATGGTGAAACAACTGTAGATATATCAGATCTACCATGGTGTAACAACTGTAGATATATCAGATCTACCATGGTGTAACAACTGTAGATATATCAGATCTACCATGGTATAAGAACTACCATGGTGCAACAACTGTAGATATATCAGATCTACCATGGTGTAACAACTGTAGATATATCAGATACCATGGTACAACCATGGATCTACCATGGTGTAACAACTGTAGATATATCAGATCTACCATGGTGTAACAACTGTAGATATATCAGATCTACCATGGTGTAACAACTGTAGATATATCAGATCTACCATGGTGAAACAACTGTAGATATATCAGATCTACCATGGTGTAACAACTGTAGATATATCAGATCTACCATGGTGTAACAACTGTAGATATATCAGATCTACCATGGTGAAACAACTGTAGATATATCAGATCTACCATGGTGAAACAACTGTAGATATATCAGATCTACCATGGTGTAACAACTGTAGATATATCAGATCTACCATGGTGAAACAACTGTAGATATATCAGATCTACCATGGTGTAACAACTGTAGATATATCAGATCTACCATGGTGAAACAACTGTAGATATATCAGATCTACCATGGTGAAACAACTGTAGATATATCAGATGTACCATGGTGAAACAACTGTAGATATATCAGATCTACCATGGTGTAACAACTGTAGATATATCAGATCTACCATGGTGAAACAACTGTAGATATATCAGATCTACCATGGTGTAACAACTGTAGATATATCAGACCATGGTGTAACAACTGTAGATATATCAGATCTACCATGGTGTAACAACTGTAGATATATCAGATCTACCATGGTGAAACAACTGTAGATATATCAGATCTACCATGGTGAAACAACTGTAGATATATCAGATCTACCATGGTGTAACAACTGTAGATATATCAGATGTACCATGGTGAAACAACTGTAGATATATCAGATCTACCATGGTGTAACAACTGTAGATATATCAGATCTACCATGGTGTAACAACTGTAGATATATCAGATCTACCATGGTGAAACAACTGTTGATATATCAGATCTACCATGGTGAAACAACTGTAGATATATCAGATCTACCATGGTGAAACAACTGTAGATATATCAGATCTACCATGGTGTAACAACTGTAGATATATCAGATCTACCATGGTGAAACAACTGTAGATATATCAGATCTACCATGGTGTAACAACAGATATATCAGATCTACCATGGTGTAACAACTGGAACTAGATATATCAGATCTACCATGGTGTAACAACTGTAGATATATCAGATCTACCATGGTGTAACAACTGTAGATATATCAGATCTATCCTGGTGTAACAACTGTAGATATATCAGATCTATCCTGGTGAAACAACTGCAGATATATCAGATCTATCCTGGTGTAACAACTGGAGATATATCAGATCTACCATGGTGAAACAACTGTAGATATATCAGATCTACCATGGTGTAACAACTGTAGATATATCAGATCTACCATGGTGAAACAACTGTAGATATATCAGATCTACCATGGTGTAACAACTGTAGATATATCAGATGTACCATGGTGAAACAACTGTAGATATATCAGATGTACCATGGTGAAACAACTGTAGATATATCAGATCTACCATGGTGTAACAACTGTAGATATATCAGATCTACCATGGTCAAACAACTGTAGATATATTAGATGTACCATGGTGTAACAACTTTAGATATATCAGATCTACCATGGTCAAACAACTGTAGATATATCAGATGTACCATGGTGAAACAACTGAAGATATATCAGATGTACCATGGTGTAACAACTGTAGATATATCAGATCTACCATGGTGAAACAACTGTAGATATATTAGATCTATCCAGGCTCTCTCCTCTGAGTTTACTACCCAGAAATTACCTTGTGTCCATTGGCTGGGATGGTTTCATAGAAGCCATGGTACATGTCCCTTGGGGAGGGTGGGAACTGCCGCGCCGAGTCCATGTCCTCCAGCGGGGGACAAGCAGTTAGAGTTGTTTCTGAGGTTGAGGCACCATCACGGTAACACTCCTCGTCACCTGCAAATATATATAACAGTCAGTTGGCAATCCATCATAGAGACACAACCCTGAACTACATTCTAGGGGAGATAACACACAGCATTATAAACTGGAAGAGATAACACATATCATTATACACTGGAGGGGATAACACACAGCAATATACACTGGAGAAGATAACACACAGCATTATACACTGGAAGAGATAACACACAGCAATATACACTGGAGAAGATAACACACAGCATTATACAGTTGAGGAGATTACACACAGCATTATACACTGGAAGAGATAACACACAGCATTATACACTGGAGGAGATAACACACAGCATTATACACTGGAAGAGATAACACACAGCATTATACACTGGAAGAGATAACACACAGCATTATACACTGGAGGAGATAACACACAGCATTATACACTGGAGGAGATAACACACAGCATTATACACTGGAGGAGACACACAGCATTATACACTGGAGGAGATAACACACAGCATTATACACTGGAGGACAGCAACACACAGCAGGATATAACACACAGCATTATACACTGGAAGAGATAACACAGCATTATACACTGGAGGAGATAACACACAGCATTATACACTGGAAGAGATAACACATTATATACAGAGATAACACACAGCATTATACACTGGAGGAGATAACACACAGCATTATACACTGGAGGAGATAACACACAGCATTATACACTGGAGGAGATAACACACAGCATTATACACTGGAGGAGATAACACACAGCATTATACACTGGAGAAGATAACACACAGCATTATACACTGGAGGAGATAACACACAGCATTATACACTGGAGGAGATAACACACAGCATTATACAGTTGAGGAGATAACACACAGCATTATACACTGGAGGAGATAACACACAGCATTATACACTGGAGGAGATAACACACAGCATTATACACTGGAGGAGATAACACACAGCATTATACACTGGAGGAGATAACACACAGCATTATACACTGGAGGAGATAACACACAGCATTATACACTGGAGGAGATAACACACAGCATTATACACTGGAAGAGATAACACACAGCATTATACACTGGAGGAGATAACACACAGCATTATACACTGGAGGAGATAACACACAGCATTATACACTGGAGGAGATAACACACAGCATTATACACTGGAGGAGATAACACACAGCATTATACACTGGAGGAGATAACACACAGCAATTATACACTGGAGGAGATAACACACAGCATTATACACTGGAGGAGATAACACACAGCATTATACACTGGAAGAGATAACACACAGCATTATACAGTGGAGGAGATAACACACAGCATTATACACTGGAGGAGATAACACACAGCATTATACACTGGAAGAGATAACACACAGCATTATACAGTGGAGGAGATAACACACAGCGTTTTACAGTGGAGGAGAGAACACACTGCATTATGCACTGGAGAAGACAACACACAGCATTATACAGTGGAGGAGATAACACACAGCATTATACAGTGGAGGAGATAACACACAGAATAACACTGGAGGAAATAACACACAACATTATACACTGGAGGCGATTACACACAGCAATATACCCTGGAGGCGATAACACACAGAATTATATAGTGGAGGAGATAACACACAACATTATACACTGGAGGAGATAACAAAACATTATACGGTGGAGGAGATAACACACAGCATTATACACTGGAGGATATAACACACAGCATGATACAGTGGAGGAGATAACACATGGCATTGTGATACACTGGAGGAGATAACACATAGCACATCACAGACCCACTATTGGAGCAGTGTCCATCACACATCACAGACCCACTATTGGAGCAGTGTCCATCATACATCACAGACCCACTATTGGAGCAGTGTCCATCATACATCACAAACCCACTATTGGAGCAGTGTCCATCATACATCACAGACCCACTATTGGAGCAGTGTCCATCATATATCACAGACCCACTATTGGAGCAGTGTCCATCATACATCACAGACCCACTATTGGAGCAGTGTCCATCATACATCACAGACCCACTATTGGAGCAGTGTCCATCATACATCACAGACCCACTATTGGAGCAGTGTCCATCATACATCACAGACCCACTATTGGAGCAGTGTCCATCATACATCACAGACCCACTATTGGAGCAGTGTCCATCATACATCACAGACCCACTATTGGAGCAGTGTCCATCATGGATCACAGACCCACTATTGGAGCAGTGTCCATCATACATCACAGACCCACTATTGGAGCAGTGTCCATCATACATCACAGACCCACTATTGGAGCAGTGTCCATCATACATCACAGACCCACTATTAGAGCAGTGTCCATCATACATCACAGACCCACTATTGGAGCAGTGTCCATCATGGATCACAGACCCACTATTGGAGCAGTGTCCATCATGGATCACAGACCCACTACTGGAGCAGTGTCCATCATACATCACAGACCCACTATTGGAGCAGTGTCCATCATGGATCACAGATCCACTATTGGAGTAGTGTCCATCATACATCACAGACCCACTATTGGAGCAGTGTCCATCATACATCACAGACCCACTATTGGAGCAGTGTCCATCATACATCACAGACCCACTACTGGAGCAGTGTCCATCATACATCACAGACCCACTATTGGAGCAGTGTCCATCATACATCACAGACCCACTATTGGAGCAGTGTCCATCATACATCACAGACCCACTATTGAGCAGTGTCCATCATACATCACAGACCCACTATTGGAGCAGTGTCCATCATACATCACAGACCCACTATTGGAGCAGTGTCCATCATGGATCACAGACCCACTATTGGAGCAGTGTCCATCATACATCACAGACCCACTATTGGAGCAGTGTCCATCATACATCACAGACCCACTATTGGAGCAGTGTCCATCATACATCATAGACCCACTATTGGAGCAGTGTCCATCATACATCACAGACCCACTATTGGAGCAGTGTCCATCATACATCACAGACCCACTATTGGAGCAGTGTCCATCATACATCACAGACCCACTATTGGAGCAGTGTCCATCATACATCACAGACCCACTATTGGAGCAGTGTCCATCATACATCACAGACCCACTATTGGAGCAGTGTCCATCATACATCACAGACCCACTATTGGAGCAGTGTCCATCATCATCACAGACCCACTACATCCATCATGGATCACAGACCCACTATTGGAGCAGTGTCCATCATACATCACAGACCCACTATTGGAGCAGTGTCCATCATACATCACAGACCCACTATTGGAGCAGTGTCCATCTTACAACACAGACCTACTATTGGTGCAGTGTCCATGATACATCACAGATGCACTATTGGTGCAGTGTCTATCACATACCAATAGGTAATAGGTAAAACCTACTAATGTAAACGCAAGACAAATTGACATTAAGATGTTCCATGTGAGAGTTGGTCCGTCGAGATGAGACGTGGGTGTGGCCTCTCTTATTTAGAACCTATGTACATCACTCCCGAACACAAACCCAGACCTAGGTCACAGTTGACAGTCACCAACAGCCTGAAGCTGTCATCTGCTCATCACAACATTCAAACATGTTTCAATGTCCCTGAGCTACTGGTGACTCTACTGTGGGGGCTTGTCCAACATTCCGGATACATTTGGTGGGAAAGTGATTACTGATCATAGGGTTACTACGACATCACAATGACCTCATTATCATACAAAAAAGGACACAACAGAAGGGGTTTATGTAGCAGGACACATCGGAAGATTATAGTCTACATCAGAACACCTTTACTGTGGTTTACAACCCTGTTACTGTAAGAAACATCAGTGACATTGTTACAACCATGTGTTACTGTAAGAAATGTCAGTGTCCTTCCATGTGTTACTGTAAGAAATGTCAGTGTCATGTTACAACCATGTGTTACTGTAAGAAATGTCAGTGTCATGTTACAACCATGTGTTACTGTAAGAAATGTCAGTGTCATGTTACAACCATGTGTTACTGTAAGAAATGTCAGTGACATTGTTACAACCATGTGTTACTGTAAGAAATGTCAGTGTCATGTTACAACCGTGTTACTGTAAGAAATGTCAGTGTCATGTTACAACCATGTGTTACTGTAAGAAATGTCAGTGTCATGTTACAACCATGTGTTACTGTAAGAAATGTCAGTGTCATGTTACAACCATGTTACTGTAAGAAACATCTGTGACATTGTTACAACCATGTGTTACTGTAAGAAATGTCAGTGTCATGTTACAACATGTGTTACTGTAAGAAATGTCATGTTACATTGTAACAAACATCTGTTGACATTGTTGTCATGTTACAACCATGTGTTACTGTAAGAAATGTCAGTGTCATTGTTACAACCATGTGTTACTGTAAGAAACATCTGTGACATTGTTACAACCATGTTACTGTAAGAAACATCAGTGTCATGTTACAACCATGTGTTACTGTAAGAAACATCTGTGTCATGTTACAACCATGTGTTACTGTAAGAAATGTCAGTGTCATGTTACAACCATGTGTTACTGTAAGAAATGTCAGTGTCATGTTACAACCATGTGTTACTGTAAGAAACATCTGTGACATTGTTACAACCATGTGTTACTGTAAGAAATGTCAGTGTCATGTTACAACCATGTGTTACTGTAAGAAACATCTGTGACATTGTTACAACCATGTGTTACTGTAAGAAATGTCAGTGTCATGTTACAACCATGTGTTACTGTAAGAAACATCTGTGACATTGTTACAACCATGTGTTACTGTAAGAAATGTCAGTGTCATGTTACAACCATGTGTTACTGTAAGAAACATCTGTGACATTGTTACAACCATGTGTTTATCTGTAAGAACCATATGTTCTGTGACATTGTTACAACCATGTGTTACTGTAAGAAACATCTGTGACATTGTTACAACCATGTGTTACTGTAAGAAACATCTGTGA